CAATTATACTGTTACGTCTCCGTTCGTTAGTTAATTTTCCGTAAGAATTCTTTCCGAAGAAACTTTACCGATACAAGTCCTTTCTTAAATAAAACTGATTTATTCTTTCTGAATACAACTTTGCGATACACTTAATTTCAACAGTCGCGCTGTAACAAACGCTATAATTCACAACGAACGCCTCACGTGCTCAACAATATTCTCTCTCCGCAGTTCAATTACACATTACCTTACGTTGCTTCTTGGCCGGTCTTATTATATACAAGACTACCCCAATCTAGTAGTCTCCCGACATTTTATGAAGGTTCGAGAAGGAAGTGGCGTGATACAAGCGTCACGTGACATGCGTTGTCGTAATAATACTTTGGAAACTATGGATTTCTTACTCTTCTGTAATTTACCATAATTACTACATATACACGTCTACAACCATGCAGGAAGTAATTATAGATTCAAGTATAGTAGAAATTATTATGATTTATCAATAAAATTGGCTTCTTTATTTATTTCAGAATTTTCGCATATGTTACACGAAGGGTCACCTAACATACCTGCCTCTAATTTTGAACTGATAAGTTAAAGAGAAGCAGCAAGCTACAATATCCATTGAAAACCCTTGTCTGACAGAACAATAGGATTTGGCTCTCTCTCATAACATACCCACAGAGCACATTTTTGCGACAAAGAATGTGAACCATGAATCTTTGGATTCGTAGTACAAGCACGTTAATCCCTCACCACGACCGACCTCAATAAGATTGGGAAGATGAACAATTGGTTAAAAAGTGAGTTTTAATTAGTATTTATATAATTAGAACTGTCTAATTGTATTTTATATATGTATGGTATTCTCAGGTTCATTTATTTTCCTGATTGGAGCCGCAGCATAAAAGAAGGTTTCGACAGAAAATATATCGAGGAGCAAAAATTTGGTTTCATGTACAATATACATCAGTGTTAAACGATTTTTCTTTTTGTATTTTTGTGGTAATATTAAATAGTGATGAACTGTGAAAATTGTTCTTTTACTCTTCGTTTCGTGTGGTGTTTCATTTATTATGGAGTGAAGAAGGCTTGTTTAATTAATACTTTACCCACTTGTTAACGTACTTCTTTACCAAGTCGCGAGTTAAAAGGGATTACTGGTTTTAATGTTCAGTTTAATTGATGACTTGATAACAAGCCTAAAACAGAGAAGAAAGGAAAATGTGATATGTAGGCATATCGTTTGTTTTTTAACTGGTTTACTGATATAGAAAATATTAAAGTTTTTCGTATATTTAGCTTGTATGTAGTTATAGCATAAACACGTGATCCAGAAAGACAGTGAGAGACTGCACAGAATTTAAACACAGCGAAACAATAATATTTTCAATAAACAACGATCAAAGTTTAAAATAAATGTATCTTGTGGGCACCTTTACTGAAGAGCTTTCAGGCAATAAGCGCATCGCAAATCTATCTGTAATTCCAATCTATCTTAAACCTTAATCAACTCATTCTTAATCTATCCTGTTCTAGACTGAGAAAACATAGCATTATATATGTGTGTATAAACAATACAATTTTCCCAAGATGCAGTTGCTAACCGCATGACTTTGGTCACTTTCACTATAAGATAAGAGATGTTGTATCTTTTTGCTAGTGGGAAAAAATCACTGTCTATTTCTATAAAGTATGTTCTATGCTACAGAAATCTTTCCCACGAGAAAATACTAATTGCAATAAAACAACAATATCATGTTGAGAGAATCCTCTTTGTAACAATAATATTTTGTTTTATTTCACAACTATCATGCTCACATTTATTGTGTGAACCACTAGAAATATTATCTTAGCTGAACTGTACATGCTATTTAACTTGGAATTAAAATTACTACAACCAATATGATCCTATATTGAGATAAAATTGTTTCTTATTTTTACAAAGATAAATTCGTAGCATTTTTCAAAATTTCATGATCAACCAATTCTAATTTTGTGGTAGTTGAAGTTGCTAAAAGCGTCTCACTAGTGGTTTAACCCTTTTGCTCAACTGGTAGAGCACTCGATTATAGTGTGACATATCATCACTTCAAATCTTGCTCAAGGGAGACGAAAGAAAAATGGATTGCCACAGAAAAACTGACTCTCAGCATAAGGCTCGTCCTAAGACCCTGAAATAAGGTCACTATACAGGTCTTGCTTGTGAGAAGGGGAAATGCAGTAGTTGGAGTTGTTAAAAGTGCCTTAATTGCTAGAAATTTTTTAATGAGTTAAATCTTTTAACTAACTTGTTAGAGTTGTCACTTATGGTGTTCAAAGGAGAAAAAGTAAAATCGGATTACTACAATAGCATGGTTTGTTTTATTTTTGTTGAGCAATGGGCTATCTGTGTTGTACCAAGTACGGGTATCGAAACCCGGTTTTTAACTTTATATGCCTACTGACTTACTGCTGAGCCACTGAGGGTGCATTAATGCGGAGTTTCTTATTTGTCTTTATTTGAAAACTGTGGAAGGCTACCATTTTAGTCCTAATAGATGTAAAAGAAACGTTTGTGTATTATATTCGAACGTCAGATATTTGATAAAAAATAGACATCTTTATTATAAAGCAAACAGTTTGTACTCGAAGGGCTCCAGGTAGAGCTCTGAACAAAGAAAATGAGCCTGAATTAAACAGGCAAACTCAGCTTTTTTATCCAGTCAACAGCGTCACCTTGTGACCTTTGCTCTTTCACAGCATTGGTTAGCTGTAACGTACAGCTAGGCAGTTTCAGTTTGGCTAACAAAATATATTACAATCGCTAATCCTTTCAATCCAGATACTATACATTACTGCAATATCCTCTCAGGTAGAATAAACATTATCTACTATAAAGAACGAAGAAACAAGGCAATCTCAATGATTTTCTGGACCACGTGTTTATGCTATAACTGCATACAAACTAAATAAACGAAAACTTTAAACATTCCTATACCAGTATAGCAGGTAAAAAACAAATGATATACCTACATATCACACTTCAAGCTAACGATTAAATTGAACTTTAAAACCATCAACCTTTTAACTCGCAACTTGGCGAAGAAGCTCGTTAACTTTTCTATTCTTTCTTTCTAAGAACACCTACAAGCCACATAGATGATACAACCCTTTAACAATTAATTACACTTAATCATAAGATAAGAACCATTTAACTACGATTTAAAATTAAATTGTCATGTAATAGAATAAAATGTTAATTAAACAAAACCTTTTCATTCCTTAAAAAATGAAACAGTACATCAAAACTAACAGTAAAAGAAAATCTTTCACAATTAAAAAACTACTTAATACAAGAATACAAAAAGAAAACATATTTAACACTGATAAATATTGCACGAAAATACCCTTTAACAACGAGCAAGGAAGATGCAAATATACACTTATAAAGACATAAATACCCTTTATCAAAAATAATGACCTACATGCCAAAAGAAAAAGAAAATTAACATCGATGACATCTCATAAAATATCTTTAACAATGATTTATCTACCTCTCTTTAGAATGGGTAATCTAATGCATCACGTATACATAAAAAGTGAAATCAAAATAAAGCCTTTGCACTAAATAACAAAAGAACTATTTTAAATCAATGAAATATACAACTATGCAAAATAAGGCGTTTTATGGAAAAATCTTACAAAAGAAAACCTCTATATAATAAAGTCTAAATAAAACTCAATAAAATTAACCTTTTGCACGAGGAATACAAAAAATAAAAGAAACAGTACCTGTACAACTAACATTCTTTAAGACAAACTCAAACAAAAGAAAAACACTATAAAAAAACCATATATATATATATATATATATATATAACACACACACACACACACCAAATAGTTACCTTAAGTATATATATATATATATACACACTAGGAAGGTAAAAATTAAAATAAAACGAAAACAAAGTTAATTAACTACTACTAATA